CCCTGAGGGGATATCCAATCCAGGGATTGGGCCTAAACCCACAGTCAGACATTCCTCTCAAAATCTGGGACAGCTGGCTCCTAACCACTGCCTGCCTGCTTGATCGTCCCTAACTACTCTGCCTACCAGCCTGATCCCCAACTGTCCCCCATTGCCAGCCTGCTCACCTCTACTTACCTCCCCCACTGGCCTGACCCTCCCCAACTGCCTTCTCCTGCCAGCATGCTTGCTCCCACTGCCCCGCCTCCCCCTTGCCGGCTTGATCACCTCCAACTGCCCTCCCCTCCTGGCCTAATCGCCTCTAACTAACCACCTCTGCCTCTGCCCCGCCACCATTGCTTTGTCTGGAAAGACTTCCAGAAGTTCCCCCCGAAGGTCTGCCAGTCTAATTAGCATGTTACCCTTTTATTAGTATAATGTATAACAGGACAGTGTAAAAAGTTAAAGAAATTTTTTATTAAAACGTTTCTTTCATACCGTTTTATTGGCTGGGCCGCAAAAAATATCCATTGTGGGCCACATGTAGCCCGCAGGCTGTGAGTTTGACATGCTTGCCCTAGGACATTGTGACCCAGGTTTAAATGGCCAGATTATTAAAAGGCTACAATGTGATAAAAATAGTGCATTAGCTTGCCAACTTTGTTTAACATTTTTCAAGGAGACCCCCCCTTCAGGAATGTTTGAGGAGCCAGGTTTTGGGGTGGGTTTTTTTGTTTGTTTTTTTATTTTTTTTTCTGAAATGATTCCCTTGCTATCAAACATGAGATAAGATTTTGACAAGTGCTCAGAATCTAACTTTGCAATGTTTCATATCAGTGCCCAGCCAAACGGTTTGGGACACCTAAGTACTGAGGTTCTGTTAAGCCTCTTTCCAAAAACGTAGTCCTAGTTCAATGAGATGTGTGGGGAAAACCCCCCCACACTGTGACTTCTTGTGAACCCTGAGTGGAATATAATCCTATCATTGCTTGAAGATCTAATTGTCCAAGAGCTGGCTCTGTGGCGCAATGTATAGCGCATTGGACTTCTAATTGTCCAAGAGCTTTCCCCGAGAAGCTGCAGTTTGCACACTGCTTTTCCAGAAACGCAGTCTCTTTTGTGGACCCTTTTTAAAAAATCCTTTGTTGTTTATTACATACAGTATTACATATGTTCCTCTTTCCCCGTTGACCTCTCCTCGGCCACCCCCTGTAGACTCATTTAAAAAATATATATATATATATGTATATATACATATATATATATATTTTTTATTGATTTTTTACAGAGAGGAAGAGAGAGGGAGAGAGAGTTAGAAACATCGATGAGAGAGAATCATCCATCAGCTGCCTCCCGCACACCCCCCATTGGGTATGTGCCCGCAACCTTGACCGGAATTGAACCCGGGACCCTTCAGTCCACAGGCCGATGCTCCATACACTGAGCCAAACTGATTTTGGCTAGACTCATTTTTTTTTTTTTAAATGAAGTTCACCAAGAAAAGAGTTGAGCAGTACTTAATCTAATACTGCAAATTAGACCTGTTGTTTCTCAATATTTATCAACCATGTTCTGCCAAACATTTGTCTAAATGGCATTTACTCGCTGCTCACCAGTTTTAACCTGCATGACTTCATACTAGTTATAAAACAACATAAGCCCGGCCAGTGTTGCTCAGTGGTTGAGTGACCATGAACCAGGACAGGAGATCATGGTTCCATTCCTGGTCAGGGCACATGCCAGTTGTGGGCTTTATCCCTGAGGATTGGCGGGGGGCAGCCAACAGTGATTCTGGTCATTGATGATTTTATCAGTGATTCTGGTCATTGATGTTTTTATCTCTCTCTTCCTCTCTGAAATCAACAAAAATATATTTTTAATTGGAGACTTAAACTTCTTAGTGACTATTTTCATTAAGATCAGTTATCACCATACTAGCCTGAGAGCCTCAAGTTTAATGTTTTTGTAATTTGGAAGCTCTTTCTTAAGAACCATTATTCAAGCAACTAGAATCCTAGTTTGAAAATAAAAAAGAAAACTTCTGTGTTTAGTGTGTTACAAAGGCTAAGTGAGGCAAAGGAATACTATTGTGACTTTATTATTATAGTTAAAGATTCCTATTAGACAATATTCAATACTCCCAAATAAATGTATCTTCACAAAAATGAACATACAGATATAAATAACACTTTAAATAAAAAATTCAAAAACTCAGGATATGTGTGGATGTAAAGCAGAAAGGTATGAAATAGAGTTGACAGGACATAGAAGGAAAATTCAAGAAAGATCTCAAAGATACTCAGAGAAAAAGTCTAAAATAAAATATTCAAGATAAAACAATTTTCACAGAAAAATATAATGAGATAGTGAGGAAATAAATGAAAACATTCAAGAAAATGAAATAAGAACAGCGGTAAAAGTAATCCCAAAAAGAACTGGTAGAGCCAGCACCGGTTTGGCTCAGTGGATAGAGCGTGGGCCTGCGGACTGAAAGGTCCCGTGTTTGATTCCAGTCAAGGGCATGTACCTTGGTTGCGGGCACATCCCCAGTAGGGGGTGTGCAAGAGGCAGCTGGTCGATGATTCTCTCTCATCAATGTTTCTAACTCTCTATCCCTCTCTCTTTCCCTCTGTGAAAAATCAATAAAATATATTAAAAAAAAAAAAAAAAAGTAAATGATGTAAGTTTAAAAAAAAAAAAAAAAAAGAACTGGTAGAAAATAGGCAAAAGTGATCATCATCCACACAGTTGGAGTTTCTAAAACAAAAAAATAAAACCACACACACAACAAAAGGGAATAAATATTTAAAAGGAAATGAATATTTAAAATCCAAAAATACCTTCCAGAAAGAAAAGAAGATATGAATCAATATAATCAAAAGGCACACCTGGAAAAATTATTCTAAAATAATTATTAGACATAACCTAGGAAAACCACTAGACTTTAAAGGTAATGGGAGAAATCCTCTGGGCCTGGAATCAAACAGATCAATGACTTCTAAATAAAAGGAGGAAGGCACTGTCTTCTTGAGAACAATATAATTTTTAAAGCAAGACAACAGTGTAACAAAAAATAAATCGATGAAATTGAAAATAGGAAAATCAACGAGCTAACCAAGAAAAAGAGAGAAGACAAACATTATCAAAATTAGGGGGGGAAAGTGGAGAAACCTGACAAACCAGGTGATCAAAGTCAATATCCACATCGGTAAATCATGTGCTATATGCGATAAAGGGGCACTTTCCCACTGTGGTTTTCTTCCTCAAAGCCAATAACATGAGAAAAACAAAAGAAAAATTCCAATAGAGAGGCATCATACAAAATATTTGGCCAGTATTCCTCAAAACTGTCAAGGTCATCAAATGCCAAACATTGGTAGCCAGAGTGTGGAGTTTGGAAATTTTAAAACATGACTTCCAAATTACTTCACTCTACTCCCATCAATCTGATTATGTGGCTGCTTGACTAAAAAAATGCGCTACAGAATGAAGATTTCTGGTCCTGGGTCTTCAGTGTTAAAAATAATACAGTCAACATTTGTTAAAAGATGGCTAGGCAGACTTCATTCAGGAGCATCACAGTCGGCATAGGGACCACTGCAACGTGATTTTGCAGTGGAAGAGCCTGGGCTTGACTCCACATGTGAAAATGGGCATTAAGAGCCCAGGTGCAGGTCTGGAGGCAGTGGATGGGAAAGTACTAAGGGAAAACAAGAACAGAAGAATCTTGTCCCCATTTCTCTGTTGTAGGTGGCTGGAACAGCACTGGGTGTTACACCTGTGGGGTCAGACCAGATCTGGGTTTAGCGACCTTAGTACTTGAGTTCTGGCTAGGAAAGATTTCAGAGCCAAGACTCCAACTATAAGAGAACATTTATAGAAGTAAAAAAGGGGCCCTTTGAGTTTGGGAGTGAGGAAGCTAATGGTAAAACGTCTGGGGGATGGGGAAAGGGGAAGAAGAAGGGGAAAGGATTACGGGAAAGGTGTGGGCATGCTCCAGGGTGGGAGAGCCTGCTGGGTCCTTTGCCCTAAGGGTTTGAAGGGTGGAGACTTTGGGGTAGGCGCCCCCCCTCCCCTGGGAAGATTTCAATAGAATGTGCAGCAGTTTTCTGGGTGTGTCCTATCAGGGTTGTGGTACCAGGGCAGGAGGGTCTTCATTCAATGCAGCTGGTCCTGAGGTCAGCTTTGGTGTGGCTTATCTAGTTTTGTTGCTTTCCAGGGCCTGGGGCTGAAATACTAGAGGCCTAGATGTTATCTCTAGGGAGCCCAAACCACAGGACCAGCGATAAGCTAGGGGAGGAAAGGTCACCCTGGGGCAAGGGCCCACCCTACAACTGTCCTTTGCTAGGCTCCAAGGACTTTCCACCGTGGTGACCTTCTCTGCCTGGCCCACCTGTCCTTGTTCTACTCACGTCTAATTGCCTGCAACACCTCAACCAACTTAATTTTCATTTGGCAGAATGACTATACGGATGTCATTTCATTCCTGTGTTCCTCAGTACAGAAGCCCTTGAGGCGACTTTAGTCCCAGTCATCTAACTGCACCCTGAATAAGAAGCTCCTAGCTAAGCCCAGTGAATCCGAGTACAATGAAAAGCAAGACAACAAATAACACGATTGCCAGCTGTTACTGCTAATGAACCCACGGTTGTAACTCGCCATACTGCTCCCAGGAATCAGCAATTGTGGGAACTCTTTCCGGAACCATTGATTGGCTTACATTCATGTCAATCAAAGTTTTTCTGCCCAATGGGCCTTTCCGTCCATAAATAGGGTGCGAGCCTATTGGGTAAGACTCCTAGTGTGAGAAAAAACAAACAAAAAAAAAAAACCCAACCCAAAAGACCATAGAGGAGTAACTCACCACAGGAAGTGGGATCTAGTACGACCCAATGAACTCCTTCTTTTGGCAGCAAGTTCAGTCCCGGAACCCGCCCAAGAGGAAGAACATTCTGATTGGCTGTTTAGCACAGGGGCACAGAGGCTCACGGGAGTTTCGACCAAGCACTCGCCTCTATTGCCCAGTTGGCCTGTCAATCAATGAGCTTCTCGGGAAGGACGGAAACAGACAGCCTTTTGGCCCCGCCTCTTCCGGGGCCGGTGTGAAAGGGCAGCGGGCCGCCCCGGCTGGGAACTCGCCGTGTGGGCGGGGTCGCGCCTCCCCGAAGGGAGAGTGCCTCCGCCGGGAAGCGCCGGGACAGTCCCGTGCGCGGGGGCCCTGCGGGGCGGGCCGGGGCCGGGGGGCACTCTCGGGGGCGGGGGCAGGGCCGGGGCGGAGCCGTAGGAGGCGGAAGCGGCGAGTGCGCTCGAGCCGGAGCTGTGGCGAAGCCATCGTCCGCGGACCGCGGACCGGCGTCGGCGGGGTTGGCCGGGGCGGGAGAGCCTGGGCGGGCGGGCTGAAGCCCGGGGGTCGAGGCCGGGCACCGGGGGACGGGCGGGCTCACCCCCCGCGCGGTCGTCGGAGCGGGTTGGATTCCCGCCCTCCCTCCAACCCCCGCGCAGTCCTGGGGAGGATGCAGCCGGGCGCCCCGGGGCGGGACGGGCGGCGGCGGCGGCGGCTGCAGCGCTAGCGGCGCTGGGGGTGGGCGCGGCGGCGGCGGCGGCATGAGGCGCGCGGCCGGCGCCCGCGGGAGGGAGGCGCTGCCGGCGGCCCTGCCGCTCACGCCCGAGCTCCTCGCCTTGCCCTGTCCGCGGGGCCCCGGCCGCTCTCGCGCCGGCCGCCGCCCGGGCCGCCGCTGGTGACCACTCGCCGCGCCGCGGAGGCTTCACCCGCGCCCTCCCCCAGGACGCTCGGCGGAGCTCTGGCCTCTGCGCCGCGCGCCGGGTGACGGCGAGGCCGGAAGATGGCCTGGGTGCTCAAGATGGACGAGGTGATCGAGTCCGGGCTGGTGCACGACTTCGACGCCAGCCTCACGGGCATCGGGCAGGAGCTGGGCGCCGGCGCTTACAGCATGAGGTACCGTACCGGGCGCCCTGGGCCGGGCGGGCGGGCGGACGGACGGACGCACGGACGCGTCCGTACCCTTGGGGAAGGCTTGCAGGACCCTGGACCTTTTCCAGGCGCGGCTGCGATCAGCGGTGCCCCGGGCCTGCCGCGTGGCCGCCGGGGCCGTGCAGCCTCGCAGGCCTCTGCCCACCCCGGGGGCGGGCTTGGGAGCGCGGCCCCTGCAACCTTGGGCCCCGGAATGGCTGAGGGTTTCATTTTTATTTTATATTATTATTATTATTATTATTATTATTATTATTTTGCTGTAAAACACGCCCGGCTGTGAAACGAAGGGCTTGGGTTGATGGGGAAGGGGTTTCATTTCCTTGCAAGTGATTGAAATACAGGACGAAATGTTTGGACTTCTATTGGGGGAAGTACTCTTGCAGCAAAGTTTTCATATCAGTTCCTACCTGCTCCGTGCTGCATTGTAGCCTTTCCTAGTTGCAACCCTAGTCACATGATTCCGTGTGACAATAGCCACCGGGGGGGAGAGAAGCACATCCACGGTAGTTGCGGTTCGTGGACTGTCTCACAATGAAATTTTTCATTTTGGGGACTACCCTCTCAGGCTGCTGCTTTTTAAGATACAGTGGATGCACCCCGATCAATAGTTTGTCGGGTTTTCACCGCCTCTGTCGGCAGCCATTCATTTCGTTTAAATTTGAGGGGTTGAAACTGATCTGAGTTGAGTCTCCGGCCTCGATCCTGAGCAATACTGTTCTTTTAACTCCTGTCAACTCGGCAACTCTTTTTTTCCTAGCTTTTTTTTTTTTTTTTTTTTTTTTGAAATTCAGTTTTACATACTATGAAGTCGCCCCATTAAGGTATAAGGCTCGATAGTTTGGCAGTTTTTTGTTCACACGAACGAAAGTGAGATCTTGATTCCCCATCTGTTCCTTAAAGGAATGCCCTGGAGTGCTGTCCAGCTGCCCGCAGCCTCCGTCCATGTCACTGCTGCCCTCAGGGAGGACAAACGACCCGAGGAAGAAAGTTCTGGGTCAGTGAAGGCCTGGGTTGGCGGGGGCTGCTCCCTGAAGTGATTAGGCTTTTAGATCTTATAAAATACACAGCTCTCGAAAAGATGAAGGTGTTAGAGGAAGTGCTTGAAGGAAAGCCCTCCTTCACCAGTCTCTGACCCTGATTCTGTCTGCGCTGGTCTCTCTGAACTTGGCACTTCTTCTCTCCGCAGTTGTGCAACTGGATGAGGCGGCTTGTCTTTTTGGAACAAGTGTTTAAGTAGTTGAGGAAATTGAGCTACTGAAAGTCATAGGGTCACCCAGATGGGCGTACTGGAGGCGGTGATTGCCAGGGGGAAAGGTGGCCCCTGGCTTTTCCAGGAGACCTGGGCTTGCCCTGAAAGGAAAGGAGGGCAGGTGAAACAAATTCATTGTGTCTCTTCGGTTGCTTCTCAGTTGCCAACTATGAAAAAGTGAAAGTTTGCTGCTGAGAGCATTGTTGTTTGAGTTATTTTGAGCTTTTTTTATTTTCTGCAAAGGAAGTAAAATCTTGATATTAAACCTTTCCTTGATCTTTTTTTAAAAAGTAATGTGTGATATCTTTATAATTCTGTGTTTTTTACAACACTTCTCATGGGAAAACTTTCCCCTTGAATGCTTTTGGTTATTGGTGATATGGTATGTATCTTTTAATCTAAAATTTTCAAGTATCTTTAAAGGCAAATACCATTTTGGTTATATTTTTTCCCATATATTTTGGATATCCGTTTGCTCCTCAAAAACTAAGGAATCCATGGGAGTCTTTGCCTCTTAGAAATTCAAGACCCTTTATTTGAGATTCAAATTTAGGAAATTGCAAAATTGACTTGATCTGGAGCAAGTCTGAATGCTTTAAGCTTTGCTGTCTTCATTTGCATTGCATTCCCCACCTGGCTCTGGAGCTCCCTGAGGGCCAGGTGGGTCTCAGGAATGAATGGCCAGTGTCCTTTCACTGCTTGGCAGTCTCTTTTCCTCTGGTGTCAAATGCTTGTCCTTCTTTCATTTGTTCTCTCAAGTTCAAAAAGTAAACTTGAAATTATTTGAAAAGTGACCTTTTTTTTCTTGATTTCAGAGAAGGAGATTGAGAAGGAGAATTGATCTGCTGCCTCCTGCACGACCCCTGCTGGGGATGGAGCTTGTAACCTGGGCATGTGCCCTTGACAGGAATTGAAACTGGGACCCTTCAGTCCACACACCCATCTATGCTCTATATCCACTGAACCAAACAGTGAGGGCTGAAAGTGACTTTTTAAAAAAAATTTTTTTAAATATATTTTATTGATTTTTCACAGAGAGGGATAGAGAGTTAGAAACATCAATGAGAGAGAATCATCGATCAGCTGCCTCTTGCACACCCCCTACTGGGGATGTGCCCGCAACCAAGGTCCATGCCCTTGACCGAAATCAAACCCGGGACCTTTCACTCTGCAGACCGACGCTCTATCCACTGAGCCAAACCGGTCCCGGCTGAAAGTGACTTCTTGATAAAAGTTTCCTTTGTAGGCAGCTTTGTGTTTTCCTTTCAAAGTGGAGTGTGCTTACTGTATTTGGGTATTGGATGACTTACCAGGGATTTTTAAAGACTTCTTTTAGAAAATGGTTTCTTCAGGTTTACGGTACCTAGCTTGAAAGAGATCTTTTTTCTCAATTTTCTGACTTAACTTAAAAATATGTTTGCATTAAATGATGTAGGCTAATTTCTGGTATTACCTTTGCTGCTCTTCCCCCCCCCCTTCTTTTGTGTATTGTGTTCTTTGTGTATTGTTGTGAGATATGAGCTGCTTCAGATTTTATAGGAAATGAGGCAGGTTACAAAGAGTTTTTAAAATCTCAGTTACAACATCAGGATCCTAGAGATGGATGAAGAGACCCTAGAAAACCGATAGACCAGTCCTTTCCTTCTAAGTGAGTAAACCTAAGCTCATAGATGTTAAGTGATTGGCCCCAGTGGCTTGTCAGTGGCACTACCATTCCAAATGAAGGCTCAGCTCTCACCTGCTGAATGAAGGCTGAAACTCATCTGAAACCTGGGGTCACTCATGTTCTGTGAAGTAAGGACCAGGTAACGAAGTAACTTAAACTGCTAGTAGGGTCATTGGGACCACTGGTAATTTTCTTTCCATCGCTGTTCGAATGAAATTATGATCTGTAGCATGTTACTTTTCTGGATTTAAGAAATAATACTGGTCTGGCCGTTTGCTCAGTGGTTAGAGCAAGGCCCACAGACTGAAGGGTCCTGGGTTTGATTCCGGTCAAGGCCACATACCTGGGTTTCATGTTCAATCCTCGACCTGGTTCAGGTGCATGTGGGAGATAACCAATCGATGTGTCTCTCTCACATAGATGTCTCTCTCTCAAAATCAATGGAAAAAAATATCCTGGGGTGAAGATTAAACTCCCTCACCCCCCACCCCCCCCAAAAAAAAGAAATAATGCAACTTCTTTAGATTACACATAAAAACTTTGATATTAAATTATTACTTTACAAAGGACATTGATCTGCCCTGTTAAACTTCTCTGTAGTATAAGTCTATTTTGAAGCACATTGCACATTCTGTAGGAGGTGCACTCATTGTTTACAAATTATTTGCTAAATCAAAACTGCTTTGAGGTGAAGGCAAATTCTTCTATTGATTGAAAGGTTAAAATGCCAGTGTATAGACTTTGTGAGGTAATGGGAAAATTTCAACTTGATCAGTTTTAAGTTAGTAAAAGATTACTAAGGATGTGGTTTATTATGTAGCTATTAATAGCAGCTGTTTTTCTTTTGGTCTCGTGCTAAATAAAACAAAGGGTTCTTGGGTAGGTGACATGTCTTGGAAGTATAAAAAAATTTTAGGATCAGTGAAATGTTAAAAATTATAGTGGTGCCTGAGACTACTTCCAGAATTGGCAATAATTCCTATAAAATTTCTCATTTCAAAGTTTAAAAACTTGTTCTGGCTTTAATCTTGGCTGGATTATAAGAAAGAATTTATTAAGTTATTTATTAAAACCATATTGATTTCAGATCAAATTGTTCATTTTGGTTTTTAAATATATTACCTTAAAATGGATTGACAAAAAAAAAGCTAGATAAATTATAAGGCTTTGCCTGTCAGAGCGTCTCTATCATATTTTTTTGTTGTTGTTTACAACCATTTTTAAAAGTGAAAGCCATTCTTAAATCGTGGTTGTACAAAAACAGTCTGGCTGGATTTGGCCCTCGGGATGTAGCTAGTCTACCCCTGCTCCAAAGGATAGATGAACAGTAGGCTTTGATTGCCTCGAGAAAGACTTGCTGCGTATTGGAATCTTATATTCAAGAAATAACTTTTGCTGAAACCGGTTTTGTTCAGTGGATAGAGCGTCGGCCTACAGACTAAAAGGTCTCTGGTTCGATTCCGGGCAAAGGCATGTATTAAATTATTAAGTTATTGGTTGCGAGCACATCCCCAGGCAGCTGATCGATATTTCTCTCTCATCCATGTTTCTAACTCTCTCTTCCTCTCTGTTAAAAAATCAATAAAATATATTTAAAAGAGAAAAATAACTCTTATATAGACTAAAAACTGTCAACTAATTAATATACATTCTATTTGTCCATAGATTTTGTGTTCCATTTTAAAAAATTATAGTGTCCCCTCTCCCCACTAAACACAAGATTCAATGCTGTTTATATTCTTAATTCGGGGCTGTTTGAAATGTGACAGCTTATTGATAGGGTCTCATAAATTTGATATTTTATTAAGGTGACACCTGTCAATTTGCCAAGACATACTTAAATATTTGCTATTAGTGGAATTGCCATCTGATGCCTCATCTTTGTTTGCTTTAGGTTCTGTGACTGAATTTAGAAGGACCTCTGTAATAATTATTTTGCTTGCTTTGGTACATGACTAGTAGATGGATATGAAACAGATCTGTGTTGAACTTTGGTGTGGCAATCTCTTTTAAAACTTGCTGAGTTTTTTGGAGTTTGTGAAATTGTTATCTTGAAATATGGACTACAAAAGAACTAGTTTTTGTTAAGTGCAACCGCATTTTTAACTTATTTTTTTAATTCTTACATGATTTTAGATTTACAACTTACAGAGATAGTCTAGCAAGTTGACGTGAACCCTTTACCCAGTTTCTCCTACTTCCATAACCAGAGTACAGTTTTTTTTAATCCTCACCCTAGGATATGCTTTTAGTAATCTTAAGAGAGAGAAGGGGGCAAAGGCGGGGTGGGGGGTGGGG